GCGTCGAAAATCGACAACCATCCTCCATCCGCCGTCCTTCTTCTTTACCATAAGAGTTGGACTATTGTATGGACTTTTTGAGGGACGAATGATTTCTTGGTCCAATAGTTCTTGTACATATTCGGCTAATAATGGTCGCATGCCGAACGGTATTGGATATTGTCGCGTATAGACGGGGATTGTCGTATCCAGCGGTATGTCAGCTTCATAGATGTTGCATAAGCCCAAAATATCGGTTTTTAAAGCCAATACGTTTTTGTGCTTGTTAAGAAGTTGACGCATTTTTGGTATGAGAGGAGGAGGACATTCCGACTTTCGTAGATTTTCTTCTATCAGCGTGTCGATATCTTGATCCTCTGTTTTCCCATGGATCCTCTCTTTGGATTCGTTCTTCTTGATGGTATTCACTTGGCTTGGTGGGTCGTATTTAAAATATGATGCAAAGGCCAAGGTTCTTTTGGGTGTTAATGTGACGTCGTTTTCAGTTGGATTCAGACACAAAACATGAACCTGTCCATTTTTCATTAAGGACAGACTTCTTCCCGTCACGAGATCTTCTTGTTGTCTGATGTGTACATAAATATCAGCGGCACATCCCTTGATTTGATGGGGAGTTGCTGGTTTGGTAAGTACCAACAATTGCGAAAATTTGGGTACTATGGTGGTAATCACAGGATATAGTCGAAATCGATGTTCTGATTGAAATTCGGCTTCAGGATCATGATAGGATGTTGATAATTTCCTGATCTTGAGTTTTGACGAAGTCTTGGTAAAAAATGGAATTTGGGTGTTGTTGAGCTGAATTTGATTCATTGGATAGTCGATGATGGCGTGTAATTTTCGCAGAATATCGCTCATCCCTTGATTTGATGGGGTGTTGCTGGCTTGGTAAGTACCAATAATTGCAAAAATTTGGGTACTATGGTGGTAATCACTGGATATAGTCGAAATCGATGTTCTGATTGAAACTCAGCTTCAGGGTCATGACGAGATGTTGATAATTTCCTGATCTTGAGTTTTGACAAAGTCTTGGTAAAAAATGGAATTTGGGTGTTGTTGAGCTGAATTTGATTCATTGGATAGTCAATGATGGCGTGTAATTTTTGCAGGATATCGCTTCCAATTATTCCTTCAAATCCAGGTTGTTGTAGATCAAGAATGACGAAATTGGCAAGGACAGGAGTAGATAAATAGATTTCAGCAGACAATTCTCCCAGGATGTTGACTTGATTTCCTTCTAATGTAGATATTGTAGTTGAAGTTGAAACAGGAAACACAGAAGTTTTCAGAACAGTAGAGGAGAAGATTGATACTTCAGCTCCAGTGTCCACAAGAAACTTCACTGGCAAATCCGTCACAGAAGTATTCAGGAAGATGACCGGTAATTTCTGGGGCAATTGGTTAGAAATTCTGGTCAGTACTCGTTTCCCGAGTCTGACACTTCTTCTCCTGCAAACACAATTTCTTCTTCTTCTTCTTCTTCATCATCAGTTACGCTGTTTCTCTCAGCAATGTGATTGACTTTTTTCTCATTGGAGAATCCGTAGGGCATGTATTGTCCTTGGGGGCGATCTTCATTTGATTTTTTGTAGTTATTTTGCCTTTCAGCTCCAGTGTCCACAAGAAACTTCACTGGCAAATCCGTCACAGAAGTATTCAGGAAGATGACCGGTAATTTCTGGGGCAATTGATTAGAAATTCCGGTCAGTACTCGTTTCCCGAGTCTGACACTTCTTCTCCTGCAAACACAATTTCTTCTTCTTCATCAGTCACGATGTTTCTCTCAGCAATATGATTAACTTTTTTCTCATTGGAGAATCCATAAGGCATGTATTGTCCTTGATGGCGATCCTCATTTGATTTTTTGTAATTATTTTGCCCATTGGGACTCTTGCTTCGGAATCTTCTATGAGGGATTCTAGAAGAGGTTCTGTTGGTATTTGAACTTCTAGGTTGAACAGGAGTTGATGGTCTCCTGGTTCTTCCAGCAGGGGATCTTCCTCTTTTGTGATCCTTCCCGTAAGTTGTTGGTCTGTCATTGAATCCCACTTGTCTTCTATTGGGTTGATCATTTTGTCTAGTATTTTGATAGCAATCTTTTTGTAGATGACCAATTTTTCCACACATATAGCAGGTTCTGGTTTCCTTTTCTTTGGCATCTCTGTTGCTTGAAGAGAAATTGATTCTCTGTATTCCTTTTTTTAAATGATGCATGTCATATTCGTCGGATCCTCTGGCGTTGAAGATCAATTCTTCCACGTTTGGGGCTACTTCAATTGCGTGTTCCAATGTTGATGGATATAATGGAAATTGGGCGTGGATAGATTTTTGGAGTCCAAAAGCATAAATGCTTCCAGCATTTGTTTGTCTGGCATTTTTTTCACTCCTTGCATTTCTATAATTTCTTCACGAAAAAACGGATTGGTGTTAATTAATGGTTCTTCTCCATCCTTTTTGAATACTTTGAGTTCACTGGGTAATTCTCCCAGCATTTGATTTCCAATTCTTCTAATGCGCAAGGCATAATCTTGTACTTGCTCATTTGCTCCTTGCGCGATCCATTTTAATTCTTGCGATCCAGTACTAAGAGCTGTCTTTTGGTATCGGTTTTGCAGCGCTTGTATGATATGGCAATAATCCTTCCCCAAAATGCCAGAAATTCCCATTAGATGGTTTTTTGTGGGTCCTTGGATTTTTTGGAGTAGGAATGTTTTTAGGTTGTTGTCGGACAAATTACAATCTGCCAATGATAATTGGAAGAGGGTCCACCACTCAAACCAACTTTGCTTTCCGTCTCCAAAAAATGGAGCAATGTTGTTTATAATAGCATTTGATGTTTGCGTATTTCTGCTTGGTCCTTCTTCTCTCTTGGTCTTCATTTGGAAGAATAGTGCTTCTGCTGCACTTGGCTGTTGTAATTGGTCAGCAGAGAGGTTGTTGCTTAAATGAGCTTCCTTGATGCCAATCATCTCATTCAATTCTCTTCTTTTCTTTTTGGCTTCCTTGTTGTTTAATTGAGCCAATATTCTAGCTTGAATTCCTTCTACTAGAGCAGTTGATTCTTGCATTGCTTGGACACTTGGTTTTAGTTCTTTTTGTAAATCATTCCAATATTTCAAAGAATTCTCATGTGCCCTTTTTAAGTTGTTCAGCGTGAACTTTCTTGCTTCCAGTGTTTCTGCAGAGTCAAGTTCATCTTGTACAGCTCCTAGTTGTTGACTGTAATAGTTAATTTTCCCTTCCATCTATTGTACCTGTTGACTAGGTGACAGACGAGCAAATTCCTTGAATTCAGCATACGTGTCAGTCATTTTGAATGGCTGATAGCAAATGGGATTTCTTTAGGGATCTTTGTTCTCTTAAATTAACAATATTTCTCAATTCAACAATATTTCTCAATTCAACAATATTTCTCAATTTTGCGGGCCGACGTGAGAGAGGGGGAACCAAAACAAAAGGGGAACAGCTGCAAGGAAACGGATACCTTGTAGAGAAGGATCTCTCTCCATATATGGAGAAAAGAAAATAATCACAATTCGGTTTCTGGGTTACAGTTTATTGATTCATCATCAAAATTTATCATGACCATGTAAAAACTCAGGAAGACTCACCTGTTAACCGACGTGTCATCATAGCGTGAAAGGCAGATGATATTAAATGTAGAAAGAATCAATCTTCGCACGATTAATGTACAGAACTGCCGTATGTACGAAACTCACAGTAAAATTTACTTGAACTACTGCGAGTTTAGCTGATTTCACCGAATAGCCGAGTGCAGCTAAAGTAAAAAGTGTACATTTATACAGAAGTCTACTCCTGAGCGAAGGAACTCGCGAGGAAATCGATTTCGAAAACAATCAAAAAATCCCGCCGTCTTTGATCCTTCGCCGCAATTACATATATTCCCCAATTTAAAATCGAAGGGAATAGCAGAAGATGATATATCGAAAGAAGTGTCCGTCTACAATAAACTTGTCTTCCCCTCGAGCAATAATTGAGAAAATAAAACGCAATCAATTTGGACTTTTGCGAAGAAAGCTATAATATCATTAGCTGAATTGTATATACAAAAACTTGAAAAATGTGTAAAAATGCGCCTTATAAATGTCAGTTATGAATGAAAAATCAGTTTAAAATCAAATCATAATTCTGTAAACGGAGTTTTAAAACTCACCTAGAAGGCGCCAAAGCATTTGGATTGCTGACCTAATTTTGGCGATTGAAATCACGATTGATCCAATTAATCTGCTGTACTCATGCTCTGTCCATACTTTTTTCATTCTTACTATTATTACCGCACTTAATCAAATATGCATGTAAGGAACAAATGATTAAAGCCCAAAAATAATTTTTTCGCCTCAAGAATGAGAGCGATTTTTCCTGTTGATATCTGGTGCAAAATAATTCGCTTATTTTTAGAGGATTCCTTCGATGGCGCATCTTAAGTTTCATTTGCGTCATCCTGAATTTAAATTTCTTTGCCATGACCATGTCCTCAGCAATCCATCCTTACATTTTATAGGGATATGTTCAACTGGATTTTGTGGGTTTCTTCTTCTCAAAATAGTGTAATCTTCAGAGTCAATCGCTTCGCATGAACATCAAAAATACCGTCAAATGTAAGACTCCATCGCATTTGAATATGACAGACATCAAAATTAGGACGCATCATGATTTTGTAAGCCATTACTTTAGAAAAGAGGGCGTATTTTACGCGGGTGAATGTGGTAGCACGCGAGAACCAGACGAGATGTGACACGAGGTTGACGAAGTCCCTGAGAAACTCCTGAAAAAATAATTCGGTCAGAGGCTTGAGGTTGCGCGATTCCAAGTAGAGTAGGACATTTGATTCGAGTCTTACACATTTTGCTCAGCGGTTTATGTGCGGAGTCAAGAAGATGAGACGCTGCTGTCCACAAAGTCAGTTTCTGGCGTGCGAAAGTTGGGAAAAAATATATTTATATGAGGAAAAAATACGAGGATTGCTGGTAAAGTGCAGAATGGCAGAGCCTCGCGCCGTGACGGACTGTCTACGCATGTCCTCGCAGCGGATGCGGCGCCAGTCAATAATGGCAGGGTTTCTGCACACGCGACGCCCAGCTGGCCTGTTTGCATTCAAGGTCTCCAAGTAACAGTCGCACGGCCGGGCAGACCGCGTCGGAACCAGGTCGTCACACCTCGTTCCACAGCTCGGCGAAACTGTATTTCCGCATCGGCTTTTCGTGACTCAAATTTTAGCGAAACTTTCCAAGTTTGTGGAGAAATTTTGCGGTCGACATGTCGTGAATTCCCTGGACCGCGTTGCAGGGCAGTCCAGGCCCGAGTTCCTCCTCCCAGTCGCGTAACACCCGCGGGGATCCAGGTTATGGCATCCAGTATTTTATCTCTCTTTCGGCGATATCGAACAGATGGGTAAGATCACATCCTCTTCTAGATGATTCACTGCCAGAACTATTCAACTTTGAGAGGACTGTGACGATGAGTAAGTTTTCCGTCCCACAGATCAAACCGCACCCAAGGACTGCATGGCATGGAGAAGTACGACAGGCTCAGCAAAATCGGGGAAGGAAGTTACGGCATGGTCTACAAATGTAGGAATCGGGAAGATGGCTCACTTGTGGCCATCAAGAAGTTCATAGAAGTCGACGAAGATCCGCTGATCAAGAAAATAGCAATGCGAGAAATCCGAATGTTACGCGTGAGAAATTTAATCCCATATGCACATGCAAATTGAGTGAAATTATTCATTTTGTGACAGCAATTGAAATCGCCTCACCTCGTGAACCTCCTCGAGGTTTTCCGACGCAAGAAACGTCTTCACTTGGTCTTCGAGTACTGTGATCACACTGTGCTACAGGAGATGGAGAAGTATCCAAAGGGGTGAGATTTTCAATTTCGAAAATATTATCCTTTTTTTCACACCATCCTTCAGCTCTCGAGAGTTAGCTTATCCTGAATTGCTTAGATATTAGACGTCATCGCTTGTAAGACACCCCTCGGCCTCTCCTTCGAATATCAAATAAGTTGCCTTGCGAATCTTATAGACGGTCTCAACTCATTTTCTTTTGAATCAGATAATTATTTACTCTTTACTGTATGCGAATAACTGAGTTGAAGACGCATAATTGTAATCCATATCCTAATGCTTCATTTTCTCTCCAATCCTAATCGAAATCTTTTGAAATACGATGTTCAGACTATTATGACGATTAAAGGCAGTGAACAAATTTGGGAGAATGATTCCGCCGAGAAAAAACCCTAATATTTTACTTTATCCGTCAAGCATGTGCATGACGTCCTTGCTTAAGCAATATGTTCAGCATACTATTTGACATAAAGCAGTGACAAGAATTTTGAGGCTTTGTGAGCTCGCATATGAGACATACCTGTCTCAGGTGTGTTCAGAAGCTTGAGTTCGTCAGAATCTACCTTTTTTGACGCGAATTTAAAATGCCCTCGAAATGTATGCTAAAATTAAATTACATACAGTGATATCTACCATAGAATTTTGGAAAATTTTCCATTCGATTTCAGAATGGGAAACGTAATGCATTTTTTTATTAAAATAAATGCTTGAAATTTCCGACGACTTCGCGCGTTATGTGCGCAATTTTGGGATTTTTAGTTAACTACAGAACTATTCTAAATCACGAAGTGAAGATTCAGAATCAACAAATTTTAATCGCTTCCTAAAAAAAGACGAATTACTAGTCAAAGGGTGGAAAACAACTTTTTCCTTGGTTTTTAAACAGCGATCGATACCACGGGGACCTTCTCTTCAAAAATAATGACTGATTGAGCATTGGGCATGAATAGATGTCACTCAAAAACCTTAATTTGCCCCTGACGGAATAATTGAGTGAACGATTCGACTGGATTTTTGATAATCTGCCGTTTAAATTCTGAATGAGTACTGGATGTACTTCCCGTCGTATATCTCACTTCGCGTAAACGTAAGACAGTTTTCTCCATGAATTGTACATAAAACGAGGACCCCCATCAGCGATACGCTGGGTGTCAAACCTCCTCGTCGGCAATATGAGAAATATGAGGCAGTAATCAAGACCGATTTCATTTCATATTAATGAGATTTGGACCTGATCAAAATTCGTCTTTTTCAGAATGTCACTGGATCTGACAAAAAATATGGTCTGGCAAACGCTTCAGGCAATTGACTATTGCCATGCACAAAACGTCATCCACAGAGACGTCAAACCAGAAAACCTTCTGCTTACGAAGGACGGAGTCGTCAAACTTTGTGATTTCGGCTTTGCGCGTACCTTGAGTAAGTCTTTTTTTAATTTTCCAGTAGGAAATCCAAAAGCAGTGTGCAAAAGTAGCAATCAGAAGTTCTGTACAGATTAGTCACTGAGCAGCTGTTCCGATCCTAATTTGCGTGAGTGCATAACCACCGGCTATAAAAGCATCAAAATGTGCCTACATTTAAAAAGATGGCCGAGTTTCTCAAGAGGAATTGTTGACGAATCAAGCTGCATCATTCAATCTCCTTGGATGTTCCAACTGCCGTTAATTAGTGCGGGCCCTGAACTGAAACGCAAGAGGCATTTCAATTATCATCTGCTCATCTTACGCAACGTCGCAAGAAGAAAATTGCTTACAAACTCGAGCCTGACCGTCGAAAGGATTGCTTCCGGGGAAAAAAAATCTGATATAACCGAGTCTTGATGGTAATGTCGAAAAATGAACGAGCGGCGTCACACGTCAAGGCAACAAACCAAGAATGTAATGGATTTTTTAAAGCTCGCGCTTTTTGACTACTGTATGTCAAAACTTTCTTAGCTGCCACATGGCGTGGGTGATGTAACATATGCAGATGAACGCTGGTTTTCGGGCCAGCCGTTGCTACAAAAAAAAAAAAGAGGGCTAATCTGCGGTTGAGCCGAGGCATTTAGCCGGATGCATAGCGAATCAAAGCATCCTATTTGTTGGACAATTCTGATTGCACAATCAAGCGACAGGTGAAGAGTCGTTTAGGAAGCCAACTTGTTGGATCTTCGAAGGAGCTCAGGTTACGTGACTCAAGCGTTTCTTGTGGCCTTGAAAAAGTTCTCGCCTCTCTGGAGAAAACTCGGTGCTGTTATGGTGCGTGACCAACAAACCTGAGGTCGATCGCTTAATTAAAGGTGATTATGCAGTAGTTCTTGACCGCCACTGTGAAAATAGGCTATATGTCAAGATGAGGGTTGAAGTATCATGCATTTATCCACAGTAAGATACATGCGCAAGATATAATATAGCTGGTTTTTCTGGTTCCACTTTTTCATTCTTCCTTGAGATCTGAAGAAGACCATAGCTTAAGCTTATGAAACGTTATATTAGCACTTTTCATCACTCTTATACTTCCTCATGATTTAATGTCTTTAACATGATAAAAGTTATGTATTATGCTGAGCTAGTCAAGGATTTGGTTGGGTTTGCTAGTTAATATATTTGGGTAAGCAAGGTTTGCTTCATTTTCACTATGAATTAGTTATTTCTTAAGATTGTTTGCTTGCGTTTTTTTAAAGATAATTTACTTAACCTACTAATGAGTTAACCTACTGATTAGTTATTTAATGCTGTAATTGACATTTTCTACAGGTTACGCCATTCCAATCATACCAGAGAGATACTGGCTTCCCAAACGTGGAAACTGATCTAATGAAAATTTCTATAATTGAAAGTTCATCAGAATAGTTTTTGATGAAAAATCACTTAGTCTGACATTTTATCATACACGAATGCAGTGCAGAAATATCATTATTTCATTTATATGCGTACGATCATTCAATGCACTTCATGCAACGTGTGGAAACTCATGAGAAATTACTTCGGTGACAATTATCTACTGCATTTAAATTAATTTGATTTGGGTATCTCAATTACAAGTCAATACTTGCTCATACTTTGTTAAGCCTAGTCTGATTAATTTATGTCATACTTCGGTTAGGTCTGGCTTTGTTCTGTTTTTATGTGTCCGTCGGAATAAGAAGAGTCAGTAAGTTACCACAGCAAAGTCCTGTACAGCGCAAAAGTGGTGTGCAGTCAGGTCGGTCACGTACCAGCACAATGCCAAAAAGTTACTCGGTGGTCACAGTGCAGAACTCTGCCGATGCGCTGGGACACTGCACCCGAGTTAAGGATGACTTCCTTTTTGTATAACCATGCAACTGCATGCGTCGTCCCTATCCCATGCTAGGGGCGATGTTCTCAGGCTTTTGTGCCAAGGGCAGAAGGAACTCCTGCGTCATCGAGTGTTCACCCTTTCCTTGCACTCATTTAGAATCGCCGGCGGCAATCAAGCCGGAAGTAGCGAGGCTTACTTTTTTTTTCCTTCGCGAGATCCACAAGAAATGACGGGGAAATCCCTGCGCAGCGACTTGGGCTTTCCCCCACGGTCACCAATCCGCGAGGTCAACGAGTCGTGTTCGGCACCGACGCCAGAGACGGGCAAGCGTGAATGACGGCACCGAGGACAGACCTGATCAGTACCTCCACTTGACCCACTGGGTACTTTACGATTTCTGGTTCCCCGTAGGCGATTGATTCCTCCCTGGGGCCATCGACAGCAGGCTGCCTTTATCCCCGCGCGGAACTCACGTGCGAAGCTTCCATTCAAAAAAATATCTTGGGACAAGTCAGCCTCATGCGAGTTTTTCTTCCTCGATTCCTCGGAGCTTCTTGCTTGTGCATTCGGGCTGCGAGCCGTTTCTTAATGACCAGTGTAAACTTGGGAAATCGCTGGTTCAACATTCGTTGCGGCTCTCCAGGATAACCCCGTCATGCTACCTGACACTTGCTTCGGAATTATGTGTTTCCTGTCCTGGTATTCCACGATGCTGCGCAATACGTACTCACACCTTGCATCGGCTTCCTGGTGAAATGCCGCGGAGAGAAAAAGCCGCGAGCATGCGGAAATCCTCAGTGCGCAAATCCAGCAGTTAACAAATAACGAATCGAAACACTAAAATGTAAAATCCCCGAACAAATAAAAATCCCCGAACAAATAAAAATCCCCGAACATACACGGAATACGTCTAAAAATGTTGGATTAAATTTTAAATTATCATTGCACCCTTTCAAGTTAACGAACGTCCTTTCATTCCCATTTCGTAGTGATGCCTTCAAGTTAGAATTGAAATGCAGCATATTTCAAATTTGTTGTTTTTCTGAAAATCGAAATAGTTTGTATATAACTCTGCTATTGTACGATACCTGCCACATTTTAGTATCGGTGGGGTTATCTTATCTGCAGAATTTTCTGTGCACTTTATTTTCTCCCGCACGCTCAGCAAGAGATGTTTCCTGTCCTACTGGTCTTGCTCGACAATGTGGTTCGCATTCAAGCGAAACTCTTTTAAAAATATGACTCGAGTTAAAAAAAAAAACGAGGGATGAAAGAGACAAATCGCGTCTGCTGTCCGGCAATTTTAGCAAGGTCAAGAGATAATGGGCGAGTAAGAATCTCCTGCATCGTGCGCGACAGTCTTATCCTGCTTCATTCCTCCATGCTCCGAATACTGCAAAGGGGAAACTTCTTAGAAGCAATTTTCTGTTGTAGTTACCAACAGTACATAAGAAGGCCGCAAAAGGCAGTCCCGCCTGGTAATGTTGAAAAGGCATGCATAAATAATGACGGAAAAGGTCAGAAAATTGCTGCTAAGGATCGGAAATCGTTACGCAGTGCTGCAACAAAAACGGTTCCGTCAGCAAGAACTTGCCGTTGTTTGCGAGGGTGAGGTAATGGGCATAAATTTCTCTTGGGCTTCGAGCAAAGTAGCTTGGCAGAAAGAAGGGTCATAAATCAAGAGTAGGGGTCGAATTCATCGATAGAATATTTAAAAAATACTGCAGAGCGATTTTTTCTATGAGCTTCTGCGCAATTGAAAGACTTGCTAGGAGTTCTCTAAACCCGTTCCTCGGGGTTGTTCATTGCTTCCTTGGTTTTTTTTTTTTTTAGAACATGAGTCAGATTGAAGGGACACGAAGAACGCTTTCTTGACATTGAGAAAGGCGAGAGAAAACGGTGAGGAAAGATCGGATATAACAGCTTTTAGGGGGAATGAACAGGTTAGTCGGTGTCGGTGGTGGAACTCGAAATTTATGGCGCAATGGTTGAGTGGCAGCACGGCCATGAACAGGTTTGCGTACAAACGTTGCTTCATTATCTTGTGACGATGCTTGATTGCCGGAACAAGGGTCTCCGTCGATGACGGGAGCATCGACAAGAGAGGGCATATGATCCCGGGATTTGACACAGGAAATCCTTCTGTTTTCTACTTGGCAGATCCTGGGGACAACTACACGGACTATGTTGCGACTAGGTGGTATCGTGCCCCGGAACTCCTCGTCGGTGATACTCACTATGGCGCCGGCGTGGACGTCTGGGCGGTGGGCTGTGTGATGGCGGAAATGGTGCAAGGAGAAGCCCTGTGGCCCGGGAGATCCGACGTGGACCAGTTGTACTTGATCAAGGAGACTTTAGGTGGGGATTTCCCCGCGTTGGTTACACTCGCGCACTTCCAAAAACGGCGCGACTCAAAACAGCGCGTGTGCCAGGGTTGCTTCATGAGTTGTTTCAGTCAATCCCTTTGCTTTTCCCTGGCTGGTAATGGAGAGGGGTGAAAAGTTTCCAGAGGAACATTTGATCATTTCCTGCACACTTTCCAAATTCAGGGTCACATACGTTTCAATACTAAGTTCAATGGGCACATTGTTACCGTACTTTCAGGCAGACATGAATTTGAAAACTGCCAGGGTCCTATCAAATGTTTGAAATCATGTAAAAATTTCTCAATTTAAGAAAACTCTTCTGAACGAGGAAAAGATTTTTTTCTTAATGATTAAGGTTTCCCTTGATTTGCCAGCAAGAAGTTGTTCGAGTCGAGACTGTAATTGTAGAGAATCTTATTTGAATTGAAAGATGTTCTATCCAGGCCTCGTTATTGATCGCATAATGATTTGGAGGATAATACGAGGTTTCTGCCACAACCTCAGAACTATCTCTCGTTCTTGGCAAAAAGAGAGCACCAGAACCTGACTTTATTCCGAGAAATAAGAGACCCCGAACATTTTGTTCTGTGTCCTGGTTATTAAAGTGTAAAATCAAGTGAACTAGCACAATTTTCTGACGGTGTTGAAACTGTTCCTCATGCAAGCTGTTTTCTGATCGACTCCTTGGAATGTGTTGTGGACAAATATCGTCCTGCAATTTCGCTGCTTTCGCATCGGTCAGTTTCGGACACGCTCTAATGGGATTCGCTGAAGTGTTCGGCCGAGCCTAAGTTGCAGTCCAATTATTTTGCAATCGTCACACTTTATGAACTTATTTTTTAGGAGAACTGATCCCGAGACACCTGCAGATCTTGAAAACCAACAGCTTCTTCGTCGGGGTCACGATTCCTGAGCCGCAGAGGATCATTCCTCTGGAGCGCAAAGTGACGCGCGACATGGGACCCCGCGGCATGGACTTTCTCAAGGTGAAACTCTTTCTTAATTACCGGTTTCTTTATTCATCCAAGTGTCGCGGATGGCCGTGATCAATCGCTGATGACCGGTCTCGTCTTACGTGATTCACCGACTCGGTGTTATGTCACCAAATTACCTCTCTGTTGACCTTTCCCCGCACAGAAGAGTCTCGAGAAGGACCCCATGCTGCGCCCGACAGCTTCTCAGCTTCTCCATCACTCGTTCTGGGACGGGTTCACTTTCAAATTGCCGGTGAGTCGCTTTCTCCTTTCGTGTTGCTTGCGTCTCGCCCATCAACGTGCCCGAACGGACAAATGGACCGTGTTCTTCGGGGGAAATGATCCTAGCGACTTGCTCAATCCTCGCAGTAAAACCCGAGGATCGGCGGAAACCTATTTGTGCTTGATGCCGTTATTTGGTGATCCTGGGCTCCAGAAAAACATGACCTGCGTTTTTTGATGCCATCGCGGTACAGTAGTTCGAATCTTTCCGAAGCAATAACGCCGGGATGCTTTTCACCGTCTCGCAATGAAACAAACAAGGTCTACGCAATTAATTCATCTCGTTTTCGGGGGGGGGGGGGGGGGAAAATATATGGAAGACTAGGTTCGTTTTAATGCGTAGACGATCGCCAGCCTCATTTAATTGTGAGACCGAATATGAAGGTGGATTCCACAAACCACTTCTTACGCTGTGTGTTTTCAACATATCTTGATTAGCCAACTGACAGCGGGGGCAATGCGTATCTTCTATTTTTTTATGTATCTAAGCGACGAAGCTCAAGGTGCAATACTTCTGAATTCTTTTCTCAGACTAGATTTTAATCCACGGACCAGTTGGAACTTGCAGGGCATTGTTAACTGGCAGGAGCTATGACCGTGGCAATCGTTTTTTCCTTTTACAGTATCACCTTGATTAACGTGCCCTACATTTTGGACCCAAAGGCACCATTGCGGTTCGAGTCACTAGACTCATTAAGATCCAATATAATTCTTTCGTTTCTGGTATTTTGATAGCTTGAGGGCGTCTGGAAAATGAATCGCTTTTCCAGATTTAAACAAACGTTGCTACAATTAAACCAGGCTGTTAGAGAAAATGTTGTCAAAATGTTCCGCTGTCCTTGATCTTTTATTGGTCAAGTGTCAAATCGCATTGAAAAATATCACATCGGATCAGCAAAAGACCTAGCGAAGAACATCCGAAGGAAAATCATTCAAAACCCTTACCCTTATCATGTCATGATAATTTTTTCCGAGAAAGTAAAAAAAAAACGAGATTTTCATTTGAGAAAAGAGCAACGACATCCTCACGTGATTTTAGGAGTAGGAAAATGTGGCCTTGAGAAATTTTTGTGGAGAGCTTCTTGTGTGGGTCATTTTATCCTGGCACGTTTTCATTTTCCAGACGAAGGAATCTGGTAATTAGACCAGGGAACGGAGGTTCGATTGTATTTGTTTGATTTTATCACGAGTAGTTTCTCAACCAGAGTTGCGGAGCCCCTCCTAAAATAAATTGATTTGACGATGTCCTTTCAAAAATAATCTCCGCAGTGGATCCCCTCGACGGACATCTATACCGCCTGTCGATGTTCTACGAACTCACGCAAAAGAAGAATTAAAGTAGAATTGCGTTTTCCGATTTGCATATGGGTGATGGTGTGGGCTATGCATAGCTACAGTCCCATTTAACGTGAATTCCTCTTTTCGGGGATTGTTGCCTGAGTTGATGACGGGAAACTTCTTGATTTGCAGGATCGGATGATGAACAACGCATTTTTCCCGCAACTCGGCAGCAACGGAGAGGCGCCCAAACACGGGAACCCGGCTTCCTACGGAGGCGCATCCCGGGCCCGGAACAACTACGAAGGCGGACATCTGCCGACCATATGACACGCCGGCCAAGGAATCCATCCCCGTCCCCAGTACTTGCCGCCGCTGCAGAAGCCGAGCAACTACAAGGGGTGAAATTGCGCAGCGGCGTTTGGAAATGCTCTCCCTCGGGCTCTGACGCTCTTTTTTTTCCCACCTATATCTCCTTTTTTCTTGTTGAATCCTGGCTTTTAAACTGTATTTTGCTCGATTACTGGACGTAGTACTTGTGTTCCGTGGCTTCCGCGGAATGTACTCTCGTACCCACACACGCGGTTTTGCTGTTCCTCCCCCCTCGCTATCACCGCGGATTTTGCCAGCAGCTCATTGCGAAAACGAGGCGATCAGCACATCCGCATTTCTAGGAGTCCCGCCAAGCATTTGCAGTTGATTATCGCAACATCTAATTGTCTGTTTCCCGACGGGGAATCGCCTTACTTCATGGATTCGCACAGCAACTGTCTTCAGTTGGAGAACAAAGACAAGAAAAAAAGATGACCACACGCACGATGGGCTTCTCAAAAGTCCTGCAATTCACCTTTGTGTAGAAGGATGAAACCGGATTTTCGATTGATATATATTTCTTGACACTTCGGAAAAACTTATTCCATGAAGAACGACAGTAGGGATGATACAGGTCGAAATCACAGACTTCAAATGTCCATCTGTGAAAATAACTCGCAGATGGCACGTTTATTTTTTATTTTTTGTTCATTCATCGGGACAGGCACTGACGATAATTTCCACAAAAAAATTGAAAGCATAATTGGCATTTTTAAGATGCAAGGTACATGAGTAGTTTTTTTTAATTAAATTGTGGGGGATTTTGTGATTGGAGAAACCTCCAAGTCCAGCGGGACTTTTTTTGTTCTGTTTTTGTTTTCGTTTTCTTAATTGACGAGCCGATGCGTAGGTAAAATAAATCCTACTCGAGGAAAAACTGTTTGGGGAAGTAATTTTTCTCATGTTGACTTTTTTTTATAAAGCAAGAATCACTTGCTGTAAATGGATTGCCGTGTTTCAACCGTCTGCATTGGCGATTCGTCAGTGATCCCTGAGACTTTTGAGAAGCCAATCGTATATATCCTTGTGCAAGACCAAATAGGCAAGTCTCAGGACTTCTGTGTTCTATGTACCTGTTCATTGCTGTTTCAATTTTTTGCTATGAATAGGGCATTTTCCAGCTTTTACCTCCGAAGTGTCACAAATGCAGAGACGAATTATTTTCGTTAGCCATTTTATCATCGGACATGAAGGGTACAATGACCCTCCAGGAGAGGTTAGCGGAGCTCGAGAGCCCTTAAAGTTTACAAAGCTCTATTTTGAACGTATTGCAGCTATGCGTATGTGGAAATTTATTCTGACATGAAATAATTTACGAGTAATCCTGCAGAAATTCTAAGATAACCAGCTGTTGTGGACGGATGAGTTGCGTGCTATATTTTTATATCAGCAGTTTCGGATGAAGCTTTGTTGGAAATAAGTGAACCCACATGCGTAATAGGTAGCGTAAATCAATTAGAAGGTATTTCTTCATCCAGTTTCATCAGTCTAGATAGTAGTCAATTAAGAAAATATGATTTATCCAACCACCTTTAAGCTGCTACATTCGTCATTTTTTTCCCAATGATTTCTGGAGCAATTGCCCGAAACTGCGTAGGAAAGCTGCAAGCGCGCGAAATTCACCCAACATCTGGGAGGAAGATGGATTCTGGTGGTCAAAGAAAAATTTTGGTCAGAGAAAATTGATGTTGCCTCACCCCACATGTGAGAAAATGAGCGGTCACCGAAAAAATTATTTTGGTGGCAAAGTGCATGTTTTTTTCCATTTTATTTTGTGAGAATCGAGGTTGAGCGTGCAAGGCACCAGTCATCAGGTGGCTCACTTGACAGAAGAAGCCGGATGGGATTCTTTCCGCAAAAAGTGAATGAAACGAAGTTTTTCCAAGATGATGTTTTTATTGCTTGTTCGCAACATGGAATTAATTTTACATGAGAACCGAGGTGAACCGAGAACCGTAGGTACAATTTACAGTACTCGACGCATATAAAGCATCTAAACTTACTGCAGTAAATAAGTATGCAATGATTTTCCATCCGAAGGAAAGTTTACGCTCAAATCTTCAACCAGTGTTTTCTCGGGGCTACCGTACTTACCGTACTTGAGGGAATACTGGAGAAAATTGAGAGAGAAGGCGAAGGAGAAGCTTCTTCAACAGTGTGCAGTACTCAGGAGACAAAAAATAATTCTTTCGGAAATTCGTCGTGGATTAGCTTCTGAAATGGTGATAGAAAGTCTGCTGGGACCAAGGATAACATGCATTTCATGAGGAATATATTTTTTAGAGAAAGTCGTTGCAGATCCGGTCCAGCACCGTGCTTATTGAGATAAGAATTTACAGTATTTCTGTTCATTGCAGCATCTCGTGATTGAAGACACGGAATAATCGTGAATTGTAATGCCGTTTGAATAGAAACTTTAAAATGGTTTCAGAGATTCAGTTCTCCATTGAGTTGAAGATAAATCTGAAGTAGAAGTCAATGATAGATTTTTCGAGTTTGTCCTTTTCTCTACTGTGAAGCGAAAAATGTACGAGAACTCTCGATAATTTGACTTTCCGTTAATTGGGTGAAGAATTTTTATTAATTGAGATAAAACAAAACAGCCTGCATAATTTTGATATGAGTTTCTTTCTTTCCTGATGATCCTCTCATTATCCTAGGTAGTGCACTAAGATATAGGTCGTATGCAATTATTGGTTTTCAAAATAATCACGGATATACTTCAATCATTGTAATTAAATTTTTTGATGCGGTCATATTTTTGAAAAGATTTTAGGTATGACCATTTCGATAATTTCGCAATAAGTCGTACCTGTGTATGAAGATCAGGCACTTCAATCTTCAACAATCTTGAGAGAAAAGGTATTTATGGTGCAAGCGCAATTAAGGACAATCATTTATCTGCGATACAGTATAATGTCGTTACAATAAACTTTTGGGGACTTCATAGATGCTTGTTATACTGAATAATTCCGTTATATTATATTTTCGAAATAGTTGGCTGGAAAAAAATTAATCAGATCTGCCTATAATATATTATGCAGTACCTTGCTTTACTGGCAGCATTCTTAGATTTTCTATTGTTTCAAAAACTCTGAGTGGTCTTTAAAAAACAGCTTCAATCATGCATTCCGTCAGTTGCACCAATCTCTTAATCCTGGAAGGATATGGTTTGGGACCATTTGCAAGCATGTATGTCATTGACTACATTTTCCATCCATATATCCTACGAGAACCCGTCAGTCACATTTGGGATTGGAAATTTCAGACTGTGCCTGCCCTTGTCAGGAAATTTCTACGTGGAGACTGTTAAACATTCCTCAACAACATTTTTTATGCTGGAATTGATGACAAGATTGTTTCAACATGTACTCTATGGGCTTTCTGTTGGGACTTGAGAAAAAGTTTGCTGAGCAGAAATTTTTTTTAGCAATGATATTTGTTGCGATGGGATTCTTCTGTGATAAGCTATAGAAAATACTGAGGTCATTCGCCCGGATGATCGGAGTCCTGTTGTGCACATCTTCGAGGAAAGAGCCATTGGCTGATGCATGGATTTCGGAACCTTACAAATTCCTCCGCACCGGTACCGAGTGGTACATGAAATTCGGAACCTTACAAATTACTTGACCCCAGCTTCATTGCCTTCGGGCATCAAGCAGGGCCAGCTACAAGTGCCTGGCGTGCGTGTTCTTGTTCACGCGCCTCGAACCCGGCCTCGCGGCTGTCCACGGAAGGAGATCGCCGCAATGTCAGACCGGCCGGAAGGGCGGCGGAGTGTCGGTCGAGGTCGGAACTCAGTTTCCACGTGCTGTTCGACATACGCAGTTGAGAATAAAACACTAGAGAGTCCTAAGAAGTTGAGAGCTCATTCCCTTTTTTTTTTTTACTGCAAAACAACTCGCAACAGTACAACACAGAGGATACGCGTGGATGAGTCAGGATGCAGGCGACTTACAACTACATACGCACTTTCTCACCCCAACGCCAAAAACCTGGAAATAAACTCTTGGTCCAACCTTTTGCATCATCGTCCCTCAGTTCCCTGTTGTTCTACCCATGCAAGAATGCATCGAATCGCGTCTATAGAATCCGCGATCACAAGAATCACGCATCCGCCGATCAGCAAGTCGAACGTGACAAAGCGTAGTGTTGCCCCATAATATTTCAACGCGTATAACGCCAAGAGAAAATAAAACTGCACATCTTCTGAGATTTTCAACCAAAAGAAATCACTCAGCCTCGCAATTCAACGGAAATTCACACAGTAAAATAATAAAAAAACAACACCTCTTCGTTTCCCAGACTTAAATTTCCAGGATGTCAGGTCCAAGGAGGAAATGCCTCTGGGCCGACGGTGAAAGGCGAGTGGACCCAGAGTTAGACATTTGACGAAAGAAAATTATTACGCAGTGTCCTCGAGAAAAATTTGACGCCCACTTGACAAAAAAAAAAGCGTCAACGCTAGTTTTCTAAAAAAAATTGAAAGAACACGCTTGTGCGGTCTGTTTCCCTTCAATCGTTTCCGTCTTGACTTGACTGCAGCATGACTCGCAAGAAAACTAAATCCCGGCAGTAATCCAACAACATTGAAAGCGTGCATTCGTTCTTACAGTTCATCGTCACGTACAACAGCAAATGAAACACAAAATTCGCGGCTGGAGAGATACACCAAACCCGGTAACCACTACCCGAGGATGCTAACAAAAAGAAAATGTAAAAACGAATAAAAAAATTTCACTCGATAATCTATCTTCTGCGCATTCTCTCAGTGTCTTTCTGGCCCTGTCCTTCAAAATTAGCGCCACTGAGAATACAATAGAACAAGAACAAGAGGCCTAGAATTTCATCAAAGCTGAGGAAAATTGATTTGCATGAAAGGGGATGATCAAGGTCTTGAACGAAACTCGGAGAACTCCAATGGTTTTCACCATACGAATGATGTCTGGTTTTCGCGAAGTCAATACCTGAAATTGAGGCAAATTATGCGATTTTTATATTATTTTAATCAACATGGAGAGAAAACATTGGTCATGAGCATTTTAAATTCTTCGAACTTGAGTCATCACATATTTCTTACGACTCCATACCCTGATTCATTTCGATTTTTAATCATACATTGATGACGTTACATGCATTTAGGAATATTTTGAGTGCTGCTAAGCGTCAAATTTTAAAACATTTACCAGCATACTTTTCGACGTGCGCGTTGAAACCGTTAAACAAATTGAATATCTGATTTATATTTCTTAAAGGATTTGGGAAGGTATATATTATATGTTTCCTAACGACGAGCGGTAACCAGACAACATTCGAATGGTTATTCCGACGTTGGTTCTCAGATTGTCGCACTTCTATGGTATAAATAGGTACCATAGAATGACCATATTCATTCCATAGAATGGTATGAATATACCACAGCCTCACATGATACCCTGATGTTAGAACGAGATGTGATCTATCAGGATATTTAGACTATTCGTACAGTTTCTCACCTCTTTCGACTTGAAGAGCCCTTTCTGAAAAATATGTAAAATTGTGAAGCCTGTTTCAAATAGGTTTCCATGTCAGAACCCCTTGGCCTCCCGGGTGCTTCAAAAGTTAACGGTTTCTGGGAGTATGATTGTCCTTTTCTTTCAATATACCAACACAGTTTTACTTCTCTATTTTTGTATGTGATGCTCTTGAAGATTCTATTTGATTCTCTCTGAAAGAAGCCGCGGAGCCCTTGGGGAGTGCAGGAGGAACCCTAAGGGCTCCCCCGAGCGCAGTTCGATAAAATTATAATTTACGAGTGGAGGGATTGAAAATGCCGGCGCAAGGAAAACGCTGATGAGAGGAAATGCCAGTGGAGACAATGTCGGGAGAGAAAATACTGTTGAGAGCTGGGCGAGGGATTCTCATCATCGTGTAAGCTGAAAAAATCTTCGTTATTTAGTTTTTTCTTCAATTATTACGTAATTTTTGTTTTCTTCCACCTCGATGGCATTTACACTCACTGAAACTTTTTCCACCCAGGAGCCCTCCCCTCCCGATTTTCTCCCAATCGGTATTTTATATACCCCGACATCGCTTAGGCGTTCATCTGCGTGGAAAACGAAAATAAATCAGTGGCGAGCTTTGGGAAAGTTGCACAGAGAAGACAGGCGTTTTACTCTGCCTTGAAGCGCCGGCGCTCGTCGAACTCGGGCACCTCTTTCGTCGGGGTCGATGGGATCTTGGAGCGAGGTCCGCGCACATAAGCGTTATAGAAGAAGCGCAAAAAGAGGACGAAGTAGCTCAAATAAATCGCAAGGTACAGCTTGAGTTCGTCGTATCCCACGTCGCAATGATGGCCGCGGGTCTTTGAAACGAACGCGTACGTACAAACGAAGGCGCCCATCACCATCTGCGCGATTTGCGAGGCCGTGATGGCAATTGCCACAAACTTCGGCATACGTATGTCCAGACTACGCGCAAAGTAGTACGAGTACATGAACGAGTGCACCATGAAGTTCATGACGCCGAACCAACGTGCGGGGGCTGAGCAAGAAATAAACGTGTTCCAGCAGAACAGCAGCACGCTGACGTGGTGGTAGACGTGCAGGAACGTGAGAGGACGTTTGCGCAGCACTAGGAACATCGTGTCGCCGAACTCGATGACCTTGGAGCAGACGAAGACCCAATGCCAGAAACTCGCCACCTTGTTGTGCTCCATGTACCTGAGGTGAGGGAAGAATTGCAAAAAGAAAAAAAAAGAAATAATATGAGAAAAAAGAAAAGGCGTTAGAAAAACGGCGGTGGCGTTTGCACGCCGCGTGGTTGCGCGATTCCCACGCGATTGCATCACAGTCAACACCGACATTCATCTCGTCCCGCCGCCGTGGTCTTCCCGTCATCCATTCAACCCGCGAGATATTTAGGAAACAAGGGTATTTCTTCTTTCTCCGTCGGAATCAGCGGACCGTGACGCGAGTAATGCACCCAGATCAATTTCCTTTTTTCTCCCCGGGAGTCTGAAAATTTCCGGTTCGGCGTTTTTTTTTTTTTTTTTCCGTTCCGAAGACCACAAAGGAGGTTATGACTGCACAACGCTTGAACGAAGCGAACCCGGAGTTGCACAACCCCTTACGTCAACATCCCATGGGGTTTTCGGGAGTGAAACCCAAGGCTGCATAAAACGACTGCGGCCGGCTTGCGTAAACCCGAATAACCGTGTGAAAGACATTCGGAAACTTTCAGTTCCCATCTACTTCAAGCAAATCGTTCAAGACTCCTTCCTGCTTCTACTCGCCTCCGCTTAGTACCCGGGATTTACGCCGGTCGTCGGCATTGCCCACTACTATCGATTACTGTACCCTCATAATTAATTTTAGGTTCGTCTACTTCTTTGGGGCCTCGTATAAACTGCAGCACAAAACAGCACCGCGTAACGAACCCCATCGACGAGGAAGGAAAGGGAATGAGTCCGGCCCGCCCCAAGAAGTGCTGTCCAAGAAAATACAACACGGGGATAAAATCCCGCAGGTGCAAAACGGGTGATGAATGAAGGATTTTAAAACATGAACGCATTTTGAATAAATTAGTGATCGCTTATACCTTGGAAGAGCTTTACAGTTTTAGAGCGCATTTCCAAATCTATGGAAATTATTTCAACCGATTTTCATATTGGTGATGCCAAATACTGGTAGACTCTTTCTCTCTACAACAATCTTGTTTACGACAATTTTCTCTCCATAAAGAATTTTTTTGGCCACACAGGGTTCTCTCCCCATTGTATAGAGCTTCACTACGACGCAATTCTCTCTACGGTTAATTATTTTTGTCCCGTTAATTTCATTGGATGGAGTCAACCTGCAATTAAGCTGAAAGGCAGGACGTGAGAAAGGTTTACATATTATTATTTTTTCTACGAAATGAAAACTTTCGCACATCGAAAAAAATATTTTAAAATATGGAATAATAAGAAGAATTTCAAGACCTGGAATTAAGAGTCTCTTCAGAATACCCATCGCATTACTCTTGCTGCGGGGTTTGTTACCAAGCGGGATTTTTCTCCGGCTACCCTGCGAATCATGCTAACTACTCGGCCGACTCTTTCACTGCGTTCCCAGCAGTTATGAATGTTGTCAGCTCGCATCCAAACAGCATAATAAAAAATATAGTTCCCGGAAACGCGGATACCCACGATATTCGATTATTTCTTAATCCTGTAGTTGAGTCAATTTATGATCATTGCTGGGGAGACTTGATGGGTTCATTTGGTTGTTATCACAGGTCCGATTCAATATACCGGTACATTAAATTTACAGTTTCTTGATATTAGTGCCGCATACGAAGGATTTTAAACGGTATTCATAAGCAATTATTCAACAGAGAACGGAACTAACCAATCCCCGAGTACAGAAAATGGCTTCCTTTTTTAAACTTACAATTATGATCGCATGACATTGTCTGTCAACCCTCCATGGTTAACGTAATCGCGAAGAACTCGACGAGATTGGTCCTACGATTTCAACAGTACCAACGCACGAGTTCAATGGAGCTTTTGCCCTCCTGAACTTCTGCGTTGACTGGTGATTATTCGTCGATGCAAAATCCCACTCAAAATCTCGACTTGAAGAGGGGGTTTCGCTCTTTCGTCCGGATTGTACCACTTTTTACACAAGGCATCGTTTGTGCACCAAATCACGAGTACCAAGATTAAAATACTCTTCTCAATGGATATTTTACATATTTAAGAATGCATTACTATTGTCAATTTCGATGACATTTTCATCGGATTTCGCCGAAATTTTACACACCCACGCACGCCTCCTTGGAAAACCCCAATATTACATCAGCGAAAATTCCGTACCACTCTGACAGGATCCCCTGTTGAGTTATCATCTGTAGTTAGCGTACCACCAGTTTAAACCCCGTGAACTTGGGAACTTCGCGAACAGACATGGAAAGCAGAATTTCTGGAGGATTGCCCTGCATTCATGTTCAAGAAACGAGACCGCATTCGAGTTTCTTCCGAAAAACAGTCGTCAGATTTACGAAAGAAGGCGATCTCAATTTTCTCAAACCAAGGAAGAAAAAAAAAAGCAGTAAGGAACCAAATCTAAATAGTACTTACGCGGCAATGCAAGCAGAGTAGGCAAAACCGAAGCGGCTCAATGAGTGCAGCAGCTCTGGCATTGTTCGCAAAGCTCCAAAGATGCTAAAAACTGCCAATGCCAGGTTCCACAATGCCAATGTTTTCCGCAAGTGGAACGGTCTCCGATTTTTCATCAGACCTCGGAGAGAAAAGACGATGGCCAGGTAGGCAGCGATCCAGTAATGCGCCCGTGTCCAGAACCGTTCCATCATCACCTTCGTCGCATGGTAATTGAAGTTGTCTTCGAACGGGAATGTCAGAGCGTACTTCGGAATGGTTTCATTCATCTCTGGGTACTTCATCCTTTCGTCGTTGTTTGAAAATATTCAAAAGAACGCGAAATAAAATCTGGGGAAAAAAAGAGAAGGAAAACAACTTATCCAGAGGTCCGTCATTCGCGTGCAGAAGAACAACGCCGAAACGTTTCCCGCCCTCAGACACTTGAATGATATTTGAATCGTCGAATTTCCGCAAATTTATTCGATCACCGGAAGCCAAGCTCTACATTTCCTCGTGGATGCATATCTTGAATAATCGGGGTCAACCAGCACATAACTATTATAGCAAATTTTTAAATCAGTGATATCCCACGAAAGTATCGGCCCTGCATCTTAAAAGCCGACCGCTAACTCGAATTTAATTACTTCGACTTCCCAATGCTTTCTGATTTCATGGCTCTAGTTCCTTTTTTATGGCCATAATGCCGGGTTAGAAAAGCTAACCATAAAAAGTTGCCACACGCCTTCTCACCATTTCGTTTTTCTTCCGTCCGTTATCTGAGTTCCAGGAGTTCCGGTTAGGTTTAAAATGGATCCATCATGTACCCCGACGCAAGGATCCCAGTATAGCATACAAATCATTGAACAGGACCTTTTTTTGTTTCTTAGCAAATTCCAAGTGCTTAAAATGAGTGGCCCAAATTATTTTATTTATTGTTTACGTTTCTAGCCACCTCTACTCGATGAAAATAACCGCTTGCTGGCTGGTGGCTGAAGGATGTGGAGCACATCAGATGCCTTTCTCATCATCGAAGGTTTCGTTTAACAGGACTTGATTTTGTGGTATTCAGATGAGTAGTAGAATCAAAGTACAGTACACAGACAAGAAAGAATGTGGTAGCTTATTCAATGGGCAGTTTTTTATATGTTTGTCGTGGTTATATTGCAGCTGGTCATAAAATAAGAAATGATCGTAAGGTTAGTTGAATGAACTCATATTCGATTGATGCATATTTTTCGCAGATAGAGTTCCCATGAACCGCAGAGGGCGAAAAAAAATATGCGTGCTTTTTTATATCAGCGTGCTTTTTTTATGCATCCATGCTGTATGTTTCAACAGTGCATAGAAATAATTTTAGAGGCACTGGGATGGAATCTCTGGCATGACTTTTTTCTCGAGAAAAAATACATGCTTCCAAATTCATAAGAATTAAACTCCCGAACGGTTTTCTTCCGGACACAGTCTAAAAGACCCTGACACTGATGCGGCTAGTAAATTAACAAATCCCAGCCTCGCATCTTCCGTCTCAAAGAAAGCATCTCATCTTTCATCAAAAGGCGTGGGCCACAAAACGCGTTCACGCACACTTCACGTATTCTAGCGCTGATTGCTGCGAGATTTGCGGAAGCGAGTGTCAGGCGTGACGTCGCATAATGCCTTAGTTCACGTCAGAGAATGAGCTAAGCGGGAAGCGACAAAATTTTGTGCTTTTCGGATTTCCTGCGAAATGTATCTCTATCTTGGACAAATAGAAGGGCGGGTTTTTTCATTCTTCCTGGATGTTGACGTAATTCTTGCAATCGAAATTTTCAAACTGCTTAAAGCTTCAGCCAGAAAAATCAATGTTGACTCCATTAATAATGCAGTATCACCTCGGGATAAAAATGAAAGGCATTTTAACGAATATACACACGGGTAATTCAAGGCTTCAGGTGCAATTATTCAAAGATTGTCTCACCCGTTACGCGAACTGCTCGAAAATGACTGTTCAAATGTTTTACGACCTTCGAAGATGAATTTGCTGCGCATTGACATTGATTCGGGGGAGGAAAATATATATTAATTTGGAGCCCTGCGAGGACCGCTTGGCAAATTGGAAATTCGCCTCCGGAGGCGAGAACATTCAACAAAATGTTTCAAGGTGTTATTTACAAGGCGAAGCAGAAATATCGTGACCGGGGTCATGTCAAATCACTTGATATTGGCTGACATGCGCGATCACTAGAAAAGCCCGAAGAACAATTCGTCACGCGATAGAATTCCCGACATATTCTGATCAAGTATTTTTTCTTATCACCCACGTGATCAGATTCGAGTTATTTTCGAGATGACTCTTTTCCTATCAAATTTGAGGGGACCAATCGTACTATCGGGCATTGACTCAGATTAGCCAATTCAGTTGACGATCACACCCGTTTCGGCCTGATTTACAGAAAAGCTGCCTTCCTCCTCATCTAGTATTTTTCAAAATCTCAGAAATTCCAACAATTGCCCTGGTTCTCAGCGGGAGTTCTTAAAAATATCAAAATGTAGTCACACATCAAATAAAATCGAGCGGATGCGGGAAATAATTCCACAGCTGTTGAAAGTAGGCAAATACAGTACTGTATTCTGGAACAGCTTTGTTCTGACTATTTTTTGACGATTTAAATGTTTTACAAAGGCACAATACATCCTGTAATAACGCGTACATGTTTAGAGGAGATAAATTGGCAGGAAACCTTCTGAAAATCGCGCAATGCGGAACAGTTAAAGGTAACAGTTCTTTTCAAGTTAAAGGAACAGTTAACAGTCTTTTTATCACTACAAGCAGGGAGGGAAATTAAGTTGCTTCATGAAAAAATGGATTGTACAATTTTTCCTCCTTAAAAATCAGAGAAGAATAATTCATCTACATGAATAATTTTCTTACATTACTACATATGGACTCTCTCTCTCTCTGCGTCCCTCTTCTCTACAACGATATCCGCTGTATAAGGAATTGTCTTCAGTCCCAATACCGTTCTCTCCCCAGCATGGTACAGTACTTCTCTGCAAAAAAATTCCCTCCAAAACGATTTTTCATGGTTCCCTGAATTTCGTTGATAATCCAATTATATTCCTATTTCAAAGTTTCTACCTTCGCACCTTGTTCCTGTGGTTTTCGACGCATCGACAGTCATTTTGGCTATAGGTATACAAGATATCATATCTGCTTACATTTTTCCGGAGGTTCCTCTGTTTGACTGCAGATGCGGGATGCATGCAAATAAAACACGCATTTCGTGAATTATGCCAGGTAGTTGCGAAGTCGACGCGTGCCTCCGGGAGGAACGCAATCCTCATCCCGGAGAAAGTTGAGAAAAAAAAGGCGGATTTCAAGGGCGGGCAATATACAACCCTCTCTTTGTTCCGAATGGCTCATAATTCCCGCGTGCGAAGCGCTGATGGGATTTCATCGTTTGGGGGCACCCTTGGCAGCAATCAAGAGCAAGAACGCCGACGCGTTGCGCAACTTGCAACACAGACCTCTCAGTAGGTTCCGAAATTTTGATTGATGGTCTTCCCGGGGCCCCCTCGCAACGTTGTTCATAACCTCGACTGATCAATCCTTCTTCGACTCATTTCCCGCGACAATGTAGACAGTCTGAAGTTTACAGCCGCGCCTGTGCGGCAACAGGCGCCGATTTCGAGAATGAAAGCCAGTTTCGCCCTGGCGAATTTCTGGGCCAGCAAGACACATCTTCGCACGGCTAGTACCAGGAAAGTTATCGCGCGACGGTTTCCATGGTCAAGGTTCAATGGCGATTCCGATGCATCACGAATTTCCTTTCGTCACAAAGTGCTGCAAAAGCAGGCGTCAGAAAACGGCGGAGAGAAATGGGAATACTAAAAAAAATGTATGGTGAAATACATGGAACAAACTAAATGCTGTACATATGGAAATCCGTCCAGCATTTCATAAATTCTACTTTAAAAAAGATTCAAGGGAATCGAAATTCATCGCCTCAGAATCCCTTGAGGTTCCAAGTCCGGGAAAAGCGTGGATCGCTTCTAATCAATGGCGATGAATGAGAAATGTTTTTCAGCGGGGGCTCAAATGAAACAGAATTCTTCTGAAAGTCTGAATCGAAAAAGGGCGGGTTTTCCTCTGGCCGTCATATCATAATGGCCTATTAATAAATATCAGTATAAGTAGATTTCCACCCTGCACCTCGAGATCAGTCAATAACACGCTTATTTCTCTCGTTTAAAAATATCAATTAAATAACTTTCTATTCGATTTATTCCGGGGCCTGAGTGATTAAAATGCGCAGTTTCGGAACACACGCTGAGCTCGAGAGGCGTATACGGGCTCCTTCCGAGTGGTTTCCGGAAGTCGTTCCCTGCGGAGCCAACTCCATAAACCAAAAGGCACGCGTCCATCAGTATCTTCCAAAAGAGACAGATGAAGCCTTTCTAAAGCAGACTTAAACAGGAAATGCAAGTTTCAGCACTATCACTCGGGACTTTGACGTCTGCCGAAAATAGTACTGTACCGTGATTTGCATATTCTGGAGTTACAAAGCACGGAACTCAAGGCAACCATCTTTTCGATAGAGCTGCAATATCGTATTTTATGGCGGAAGCAAATGCAATACAGGCATTGGAGGTTTAGAGCCTCATTTTAGCAAATTCATGCATTTCAAATCCAAACATTTTCATAGGACAGAGGGACTGAACTTCCGACTCGAGTACACGGAGGACAACACAAAAAAATACGGAAGAAAATGAACCAGAAGTATGATCAACTAAAACTAGCCCATCTAAAAATAAAGGCTCAAAAAGTTTGGCCCAGAAACACATTGGAACGAATTACAATATACGGTATGTAATTAAGGTAAATAAAGTCGAGTGGAATTCAGATTGACTGTGATAAAATTCTAATTGGTCGATACTCTCTCGAGAGAAAGAAGAAGTTGACATACGGTGATTCAAATTCGAGCACCTCAATTTCCGTTTTACCAACGTCTTCTTTGTCTCTAATGATGAATTATGCAAACTTAAAAACCTTCACGAAATTACTGAATATTTAGAATAATTTGATAAAATCTTTAATCATTCGAGCCCATTAAATTCCGGCAGAGGAACCCAGTCATTTAGCCGGCGCTTATAATCGGAGCTACTCTGCCAAAAATGTTGCTTCTCGATTCCGTGGTAGAGCTTGAACAAAACAGGACACCGGGAGAAAAAAAAAAAGGCCGAGAATCCCTTTCGTAGGACTTCTTCGACCAGCAATTTATTCGGTATAAATAACTTTTCTCAACCGCACCTTTTTTTCTGCTCGCCCCAACTTGCTCTACGCCATAAAAGAACGAATGAAGCTGCAT